TGCATCAGCAAAGTCCTTTACCATATATGCTTCTGGGATTAGGACCTGGGTGTCTTTGGGGCCATGATTCAGCCAACAACAGCCAGTTTGCCTGGGCCCAGTCATGTACATAGGAGCCTCAGTTTCCCCATTTGTAAAATGCGGTCAGTAGTGCTGCCTTGCAGGCATTGTATTAGGAGTACGCAGACTTTAAACTGCTGACCTGTGTAAGGCGGTGGACAGATGGCTCCAGAGCGCCTCCTAATGGTAGTGTTTTGTTTTGAGAGTATAAAGTCTGGGGGGTGTAGCTGGCGAGCCCCCAAGAATTCTGCCCAGAAGTGGAATCCTTTGTTTATCCCCTCAATTCCAGCTTAGGCTGCATGCAGGTGATATCTGGAGAGACTTGTCATGCCGGCCGGGCGCGGTGGCTCATGCCTGTAATCCCAGCACTTTGGGAGGCCGAGGTGGGCGGATCACCTGAGGTCAGGAGTTCAAGACCAGCCTGGCCAACACGGAGAAACCCTGTCTCTACAAAAATACAAAAATTAGCAGGGCATGATGGCGGGTGACTGTAATTCCAGCTACTCGGGAGGCTGAGGCAAGAGAATGGCTAAAAACCTGGGAGGCGGAGGTTACAGTGAGCCAAGATTGTGCCATTGCACTCCAGCTTAGGTGACAGAGTGAGACTCCGTCTCAAAAACAAACAAACAAACAAAAAAAAGCTTGCCATGCCACTGTCACTACTTGGGGTGGAGTCTGGACAGTGGGGACATTAGAGCCTCCCATGATTCTCATAGGCAGCCACCGTTGAGTCCGATTTGCACCCAGGCTGGGGTTGCTGTGAGTGGCTGCCACCTCTCTTTTTGGGTAGCAACACGGGCCTCCTAGGACCACCTGGGGCCTGACGGCTGACTTGGCTGCCTTTTCAGTGAGAAGGACTTTGTTATGTGTAAAGAAAGGCATTGGATCGGACAGTCTCCATTTCTGCCCAGTGTGGAGACTGTGACATCGTGTGGGAGCTGGGCTCCTCTCGGGTAACAAGGGCTCACCCGGCTCACCATGCCCACTGTTTGCCAGCCCTGGGGTCTCCTGCACACCCCACCATAGACACAGGTGTAGGGCCAGCATCCCCCTTTCACAGGAAACCAGGGGTTGGGGCACATGCCCTTTGCAGGGTCCCTGTGTGTGGCTGAGCAGGCCAGGATCTCAGGGCTGTCTCGCCCAGCCCCTGGTCATGAATGACTAGTTCATTCATCTTTTGACTCAAGTTTGTTTTTTTTTTTTTTGAGACAGAGTCTTGCTCTGTCAGCCAGGCTGGAGTGCAATGGGGTGATCTCAGTTCATTGCATCCTCCGCCTCCCAGGTTCAAGTGATTCTCCTGCCTCAGCCTCCTGAGTAGCTGGGACTACAGGTGCCCGCCACCATGCCCGGCTAATTTTTGTATTTTTAGCAGAGACGGGGTTTCACCATGTTAGCCAAGGTGATCTCAATTGCCTGACCTCAGGTGATCTGCCCGCCTCAGCCTCCCAAAGTGCTGGGATTACAGGCGTGAGCCACCATGCCTGCCCGAGTATTTATAAATTGGTTGAAAGATGGAGCTGCTGCTGGTCGTGGTTCTCCAGGATGCTTATGGTCATGGCATGTTGTTGCAGAGAAAGCTTGAAAGCTACTTCAAGGTCCTGGAGGAAACGCTGATCTCTGGCTCAGTAACTTCATCCTTTGTTCCAGAATCCTTCTAAGTATCTCATGGGGAGGCGACAGGGACTTACGAACGTCTCCAAACTGTGACACACTTTCATTTCACTTTAATTAGGAAAAAATAGATGCTGGGTTCCTTGGTGCCTGCATGCACAATTGGTGTCCTGAGAGAGGCTGGGATGTTCCAGAGCTTTCCTGGGGTGGGGGCCTAGCCAGGGCTTTGAAGGGCAAGGAGGAGAGAGGCCAGTGCAGCCTGGCAAGCCGCGGAAGGAACGGGTTCATGGCAGAGAGAACGTGGGCAGGTGGGGGAGCCAGTCCTGACTCCTCTGAAGTCACTCTGCTCTTAGGGGCCCCCATAACAAAGTGGAGGGACTCAGAGCAACAGGAATTTACTCCCCCAGTACTAGAGGCCAGAAGTCTGAGATCAAGGTGTCAGCTGAGCTGTACTCCCTGGGAAACCTGCAGCGGAGACTCCGTCCTGGTGACTCCTAGTTCCTGGAGGTTGCCACCATCTTTGGCTTTGCTGTGTAGACACAGTGCTCTAATCCTTCATCCTCACGTGGTCCTGTCCCCATGTGGTAGACACCACATTTCCCCTTCTGGTAAGGACACGCCAGTCTGGTTGGATTAGGACCCGCCCTGATGGTCTCATTTGCAAAGACCCTATTTCATAATCGGGCCCCATTCACAGGTCCTAGGACTGGAACCTCAGCATCTCTTTGGGAGGGGCCCAGCAGGCTCTCAACGCTTGCTCTCTGGTCCTTCTCCTGGGATGCATCAGCGGGTGAGGCATGGTTCCCCCACTTGGGTGATGAGATGGGGGCCCAGAGAGGCAGGCGACCTGTTCACGACCACACAGTCAGCAGCTCACGGGATTCAACTCTGAGTCAGCTTTTGGAGAGGTCCGGGGCCCTCTCTGTCCTCAGGCTATGGTGCCCACGCCGTGCCCTGCAGTGGCCGAGGAGAGCCCAGCCCTAGGGTCTGCACAGGGCAGTGGGAAGAGAGAGCTCAGCCCGCAGGGGAGCGCTGTGCCGCACCCTGGGCTGCCCCACCGCTGACACTCCCTGGATGTATTTCTTTAGCGTCTCCCCTCAACTGTCCAGGGACTGAGGCTATTATTTCACGGTTCTGCCCGCTCCTCAGCCATTAGGCCCAGGATTCTGCAGGAAAGGCTTGGCCAGGTTTCAGAGGACACCCCTGAGGAGGTGGTTCCCTCACAGCCCTGCAGGAGAGAGCGGGCATTATTTTTTGTTTTTTGAGGTGGAGTTTTGCTCTTGTTACCCAGGCTGGAGTGCAATGGTGCGATCTCAGTTCACTGCAACCTCCGCCTCCGGGATTCAAGCGATTCTCCTGCCTCTGCTTCCTGCATAGCTGGGATTACAGGCATGGCCACCATGCCCAGCTAATTTTGTATTTTTAGTAGAGATGGGGTTTCTCCATGTTAGTCAGGCTGGTCTTGAACTCAGGTGATCGGCACACCTCGGCCTCCCATAGTGCTGGGATTACAGGCGTGAGTCACCGTGCCCGGCCATCGGGGGTTATTTTTAAACATAGACAGATGAGGTGCTGGCGCCAAACTGATGTGGCTTTCCCAACTGGAGAAACAGGTTTAACGACACCCCATCTCTTCAGGGACCTGAAACCCTCTTCTGACAGGACGTCTTCCCCTGTGGTGGCTTGGGCTGCTCCTCAGAAGAGTGTTTTCAGATGCAAAGAATAAAATGTAAAGGGTTATGCAGGCAGCCAGTTAGATGGAGCCCAGCCCTCCTGGACCACGCTGAGGGAGGCAGCCTGCAGTGTGGACTGTGGAGAAAGGCAGGCAGGTAGCTGGGCCCTGGGCTCGGTGGCCCCGGCTTAGTGTGAGACAGGGCAGCTGGCTTGGAAGGTTGAGAGCCCACCCTGCTGTCTGCCAGGTGTGACCCTGGGCCAGCGAGGAAAGGAGAGTGATGGTAACAGCAGCCACAGCACACGGCTCCCTCATGCTCCTCCCACCCAGGCGCTGTCCTCGGCATCCTGGGACTGTCCCTGGGAGGCGCTCCTTTCACTGCCATTCAGAGGCTGGAGCTGGGTGCTGTACTCCTGGCCAGCGAGCTAGAGTCTCAGGGTCTGTGCTCTGGTCCCTGCCCCCAGGCACTGTCAGGGCTTGTGGCTGTCATTCACAGGACCAGCTGGTCCCTCCTCGGCTGGGCTCCTGCCACTGCCTCTGGCTGCCACATGCGTTGGATGGCTGCGCCTTCCTTTTTTTCTTTTTTTTTTTTGAGATGGAGTCTCGCTCTGCTGCCCAAGCTGGAGTGCAGTGACGCGATCTCGGCTCACCGCAACCTCTGCCTCCCAGGTTCACGCAATTCTCCTGCCTCAGCCTCCCAAGTAACTGGGACTACAGGCATGTGCCACCATGCCCAGCTAATTTTTGTATTTTTAGCAGAGACAGGATTTCACCATGTTAGCCTGGCTGGTGTCAAACTCCTGACCTCAAGTGGTCCACCTGCCTTGGCCTCCCAAAGTGCTGGGATTACAGGCATGAACCACTGTGCCAGGCCCATTTTGGCTTTGAGACATACTCTCATCCCTGCCAGGCTCCCTTGGAGCCAGGTAAGTGCCTTCAAGGTCCAGGCCCAGTGTCACCTAGTGACCCATGCCTCACACCCTCCAGTCGGGGCAGGGTGTCCCCCTCCAAGCCAGCTGTCTTGCACACTGTTGTGAGCTCATCTGTAAACACCAGCTGAACACCTACTGTGTGCTGGGGTTGTCTAGTGCTTAGCACACTGCGGTGAAGAAAACCAAATTCCTGTCCCTAAGGACACTAACCACACAGGAAACTGCCGAGGGTGAAGGCTGATGGGGCTGCAGAAGTTCTGTCTTTCCTGGTCCCGCGCAAAAGCAGGCTGGTGTCTGCGCAACACGCGTCCCAGCACTGAGCCCAGGGCTCAGGACATGTTTGCTGAGCAGTTGCTTGGCTGGTAGCTGAGGCACAAGGGTCCTGATGGGGAGTGGGAGCCGCAGCCCAAACCTGCTCCTCAGACAGACATGTGTCTTACTGGCCCGAGAGCTGCTCAGCCAACAGTGAGGCTTTCTCACATCTGTACCCTCAGCTCTCTACGCGGGACCTGGGTACTAAAAATAATTTAAAATGAAGGTGACTTATGAATATGGTGAAAAATTAAAATGTTACAAAAAATTGCCCAGTGAAAAGGGATGCTCCTCGCCTCTCGTTCCCAGCCGCCCTCCCCAGGTTGTTCCAGACAGTCTCTGCACGTGTTGTGTGTGTGCCTGCGCTGCTGCCTGCCTTCCGGCCACCCCTGACGGTCCTGCTCTGCCCACAGGTCTCTGTGCTGGTCCTCTTCGCCCTGGCCTTCCTCACCTGTGTCATCTTCCTGGTCGTCTACAAGGTGTACAAGTATGACCGCGCCTGCCCTGATGGCTTCGTCCTCAAGGTAAAGCTCCGTTTCCCCCCCGAGGCCCCAGGACGCCTTTGCACCCCTTGTTCTCCTCCAGCTGGCCCAGAGACAGGCTTTAGAGCAGCAGGGGCCAGTGCCAGGAGTGTCCCTGCTGAAGCCCACCGGGACAGCAGGGCAGGTAGGCAGGTGGCACACGGGACCACAGGAGGGACGCTCCCGGCTGGCCCCCAGGATCTGACGTAAGCAGTCTGGGGAAGGGCCCTCCTCAAAAGCAGGCCCAGCCAGGGGCTGCCGGGGGAAATGCTCAGGGTGAGATCTACCAGGTCCCAGCGGATGGCTCTGGGGGAGGGAGAGGGGACCATGTCTGCCTCAGGAAAGAGGGGAGGATGTACTGGGGGAAGCCAAGGCCCAGAGAGAGGAAGGCCTTGCCCAAGGCCACTCAGGGACTGGGGATCAGGGCTGGGGGCACACCCCCGTCCTGAGCTGTGTCCCTCTTCTGCCAGTCCCACCGTGGGAGCCACACCGGTGCTGAGCTCTCTACAGGCTTGGAAATGCTCGCTTTGCATATATAATGCTCATTCCAAAAAGCCCGCACGTGGCATGCAAGGCAGCTTGATTAAAGAAAGGAAAGGGGCTGGGCACGGGGGCTCACGCCTGTAATCCCAGCACTTTGGGAGGCCGAGGCGGGTGGATCACGAGGTCAGGAGTTTGAGACTAGTCTGGCCAACATAGTGAAACCCCGTCTCTACAAAAAATACAAAAAAAATTAGCTGGGCGTGGTGGTGTGCGCCTGTAATCCCAGCCTGGCGCCTGGCCAGGCATCACTTAGTAATGGGAATACGTCCCGAGAAACGCATTGTTATATGATTCCGTTACTGAGCCGACCTCAGAGTGTACTGTACACACCCGCATGGCCCAGCCTGCTGCACGCCCAGGCTGTAGGGTACGGCCTGCTCCTGGGCTGCAAACCTGGACAGGACGTTACTGTACTGAACGCCGTAGGCAGTTGTCACACAATCTGTGTATCTGAACATAGAAGAGGAACGGTGAAAACACGGTATAAAAAATAATAGATGGCCTGTCCGAACAGGGCAGTTCCATCAAGAAGGCAGCTTGCAGGGCGGGAAGCTGCTCTGGGCGAGCGAGGGAGGGAGGGAGGGGTGGTGGGTGAATATGAAGGCCTCGGCACGGCCGTGTACTGTGGTGACTGAGTGAACGCTGGACACAGGCTACACTCGATTCATAACATATTTTTCTGTCTTCAGTAGTAAATTAACCTGAGCTCACTGTAACCTTTTTACTGGATAAACTTTTTTTTCTCGAGATGGAGTCTCGCTGTGTCGCCCAGGCTGGAGTGCAATGGAGCCATCTTGGCTCACTGCAACCTCCGCCTCCCGGGTTCCAGCGATTCTCCTGCCTTAGCCTCCTGAGTAGCTGGGATTACGTGTGTGCGCCACCACGCCTGGCTAATTTTTGTCTGTTTAGTAGAGACAGGGTTTCCTCATGTTGCTCAGCCTTGTCTTGAACTCATGACCTCATGATCCACCTGCCTGGGCCTTCCAAAGTCCTGGGATTATAGGTGTGAGCCTCCATGCCCGGCCTAACGGCACTATTTTGGCTCACTGCAACCTCTGCCTCCCAGGTTCAGGTGATTCTCCTGTCTTAGCCTCCTGAGTAGCTGGGATTATAGGCGCCCACCACCACGCTCGGCTAGTTTTTGTATTTTTAGTAGAGATGGGGTTTCACCATGTTGGCCAGGTTGGTCTCGAACTCCTGACCTCAGGCGATCTGCCTGCCTCAGCCTCCCAAAGTGCTGGGATTACAGGATGAGCCATTGTGCCTGCCCATACACTTTTAAACTTTAACTTTTTGACTCTTTTGTCATTAACACTTAGCTTAAAACTCAAACACATAACACAACTGATACTGTCTTTCTTCACATCCTTATTCTATAAGACTTTTCCTATTTACAACATTTTTAGGCTATTTTTTACTTTCAACACATTTTTCGTGAAAGCTCAGGGCACAGACACACACAACAGGGAGGCCTGCGCAGGGTCAGGATCAACAGCCTTGACTGGAAGGTCTTCAGGGGCAGTGATGGGCACAGGGCTGTCATCGCCTAGGATAACAATGCCAGGCAGGGCACGGGGGCTGACGCCTGGAATCCCAGCAGATCACCTGAGGTCAAGAGTTCAAGACTAGCCTGGCCAACATGGTGAAACCCTATCTCTACTAAAAATACAAAAATTAGCCAGGCATGGTGGTGGATACCCATAATCCCCACTAGTCAAGGGGCTGAGGCAGGAGAATCATTTGAACCCGGGAGGCAGTGGTTGCAGTGAGCCGAGATTGCGCTACTGCATTCCAGCCTGGGCGACTGAGCGAGACATCCAAAACAGAACAAAAAACCAAACAAAACAATGACTTCTTCCAGAATCCTCCTGAAGGAGCTGCCCAAGGCTCTTTTACAGTTAACATTTTAATAAGTAGGCATACACTCTAAAATACGGATAAAAAGCCAGTATGGTAACACACACCAGTAACATAGTCACTTATCATCACTGTCAAGTATTATGTGCCGTACGTAATTGTACGTGCAAGACTTTTGTACAGCTGACAGTGTAGGGGGTGTGTCTACACCAGCAGCACCGCCAGTGTGAGGAATGCGTTGTGTCCGTCCATACAGTGGCTGTGAGGTCACGAGGCGAGAGGAGTTTTCAGCTCCGTGACAGTCTAATGGGGCCATGGTGGTGTGTGGTCCATCGTTGATCCGAATGCCGTTATGCTGCGCCTGGCTCGAAAACGCGCTGGCCGTGGACTCCCGTTTCCCATTTGAGCTGGCTCTGAACGTCCCAGAGTCAGTGTGAAATGCTCATTTCCAGGGCTTAGCACTGCTGAGACTAAAACACAGCAGGAGAAGCCAACTGTTCCTGGCACTGAGCACATGCATGGGAAGCCTGGCTCGTCAGCTGTCACTGCGCGGTTGGGTCTGGGTTTCACTTTGGTTTTGCTTTTGCCGACGGGAGGACGCAGTGTCCTTACGCAATAAGCAGGAAAGGCTGGAATCCACACTGCCCAGCTCAAGTCCCTTTTCTCCGCCTCCACATCATGCTCCTCAGGCTCCCGACATTCAGCTCTTCCGTCCTTGAGCAGGCATTCGCGCGGCGCCCAGCCCATGCCAGCGTCTCTTGCTATTGTTCTAGATACTGGAACATAGCCGAGAGCTGGCTGGGTACAGGCCCTGCCTTCACGAGGCTCTGACATTCTCAAAAGAATAACGGGGAAGTCAGTCACACACTGAATGTGAAGGCTATAGACAGACAGGAAAGAGAGGCCCGGGGTTGGGCCTGTGGCATATGGGTGGTAGTTTCTAGAAGGGCGGTCCACATTGGAGGAGCCGGTCTCCAGGAGGTAAGCCAGGGAGCTTGCGGGTGCCCAGCCAAGGGAAGCTCCCACCCTTTCGCTCATGTTCTTTTTTTTTTTTTTTTTTCGAAATCTTGGCTCACTGCAACCTCTGCCTCCCAGGTTCAAGCCATTCTCCTGCCTCAGCTTCCTGAGTAGCTGGGATTACAGGTGTGCGCCAACCATGCCTGGCTAATTTTGCATTTTTAGTAGAGATGGGGTTTCTCCAGGGTGGTCTCGAACTCCTGATCTCAGATGATCCGTCCACCTTGGCCTCCCAAAGTGCTGGGATTACAGGCTTGAGCCACTGCGCCCGGCCTCACTCATGTTTTATTCAGCAAGCCCCTGCCCACGTGCTGGGCTGGGGCTGGGAGAGTTTGAGTCTGTTTTGGAGGCTGAGAGGACACCAGGGCTTTAAAACAAACCAAAGCAGAGGGCACAGGCTTCAGGGAGGGAAGGCAGGCTGGCCCTGACCCAGTGGGCGGGAGTGCGTGACGTTAGAAGAGCACACAGGGAGCAATGGGCTGTGGGGTCAGGTCATGCTGGTGTGGGGTCAGGCAGCGGAGGATGAGCCAGTTTTACGGCCAGACTGGGAGCACCCCGAGTGCCAGGCATAGGCTCCCAGAGGAGGGGAAGTGATAGGGTGATCTCTTGGGTTGCCCGGGGAGGCTGGAGGTTGGAAGGGAGAGACAGGGCAGGGAGATGACCGACGAGGCTGCTGCAGGGGCCCCTCCACTGGGGATGGAGGGGAGACCATGGACTGGAGGACTGATTGAATCTGGGAGGCAGAGGGGTCAAAGGAGAGGGCCTGGTACAGAGCTCGTTACTTAGAGAGGCTGACGTCATAGAAAGGGAGCATGGGCAGGCCCGGGAGTGGGCCCCGAACGGGAGAAAGGACCTCAGAGGACAGCTTCTGGGGGCTGGAAGTCCCCAGTGAAACCGTCTACTCACAAATAACCAGCCTGCTGCCATGGGGCTCCCTTCCCGGCTCATCCTCGCTGGGCCTGGAGCAGGTTCCCCATGTGGAAGACCGGCAGCTAAAACTGTCTTCCCCATCTGCAAGCCCAGGTCTCGCTGGATGCTTGGTATGGGTGGGTGATGATGCTGGAGATAAAGCGCTGGTCCCTGCCAGCTGCAGGGGAGACTGGAGGCCTCATTGGCATCTGATGTTGAAAAGGCCCTCCAGGTGATTCCCGGACACGGCCAGCCTTGGGAATTGACAGTTCCCGGAGAGGTGGTTCTGGAGTGATGTCCTGTGGGATGCTGGCATTTTACACTGGCATCTAATGAGGGTGTGTCCTTTCCGGATAAGGCAGCTAGGAGGACCAGGGAGCTGCTGGTCTGTATCCGACTGCCCTTGGCCGGAGCTGGAGAAGGGAGGCATGAGCTCAGGAGGTCCCCACATCTTCTTTCCTACATATCTGTGCATGTGCTTATAACATGCCAACTCTGGGCAGCCTGTGAGGGGTTTTACACCGATTGCTCATGGACTGTGCCCAGAATGCTGTTATATCCCCATTTTACCCGTGGGAAGAGGGTGCACAGAGGCTCTTCGTGGAGCCCAGGGTCATGCCCTTCTGATCAGCCAGTACCGTCAGCGCGTGCAGTATTTACTAAGTGCCTCCTACTGTGTGCACGCTGAACTGTGGGCAGGTACCTCAGAGCCCCTGGCCGTGGGGAGGGGACAGGCTCTTTCTGGGCAGCCACTCCCAGTGGCCCCAAGCTCAAGGATGTCATAAGGAGGGTCACAAAGGCAGACGTGGCCTGAGAGGACATTAGGGTGTATCTCTGCCTTATTTTTTAAACCATGAAATTACTGAACAAGTATTATAAAAAAGTTTGAAACATAATGGGGAAACTGCCCCAAATCCCACATTTTTATATTGGTTCTTCCTTTATATTGGCTATTCTTTTCTTTTTCATGTAGAGATGGGTTACAGATCCTTGCTATGTTGCCCAGGCTGGTCTCGAACTCCTGGACTCACTCAAGCGATCCTCCAGCCACCACACCCAGACCTTAGTGGTCATTCTTTTCCAGTGCTGAGTGCTGGGTGCTGGGAACACACTTACTTAGCTACCTCAGTCCTCCCATGCCCCATAAGACAGGCCTATCATCAGCTTCACTTCACAGGTGAGGGAATGAGGCCCAGAGAAGTTTGGGAACCCCCCAAGCTCCTCCCTATGCAGGCCCAGCTGGGTCACTCTCCCCTCGAGGCATGCCCCACAGGTGAAGGAAGCTCTGTATGAGATGGGGTGGCGGGGGCAGCGGGAGCTTCTCAGGGAGCTTTCCCTGGCCCACGTGTACTCACGGCAAGGCCTCTGCATTCTGCTTCCTCTGGGAAGCCCTTCACCCCCTGGGGTGCTTACCGCCATGGGCACCGAGGTGCCTCCCCAGCCTTGGCTTTGGGCAGCCACCTTGTGCGGGAGGCATCTGGGGGAGGGCAGAGCCATTTCTGAGCCATCTCAGATGTCAGCCCTGAGCGGGGCTGCCACTCCACATGTGTTGGTGGCATCGGGTCTCAAAGGGCTCTGCTGGGTGCCAAGGTGGGAGGGAAGAGGGGAACCCATGGTCCCTGTTTCCCTGAGGGATGACGAGCAGCAGGTGGAGAGGAGAGCATGAAGGGGTGTGGTGGTGAGGCTGGAGGGGAGTGTGTCTGGCTGCGGAGCCTTCCTGACATACGCGCTCCTAGTCTGAAAGGGGGTTTGTTCTGTAGCCTGCCAGGGGCTTCCCAATGTCCTGGTGGGGCTGAGATCCAGATGCTGTGATAAAAGAACTGCAGGTGGTGGGTGGTGTCTTTGTCTTTTCTGTCCACCCTGTGGCCTGGGGCATGCCCTGGTTTCTTGAGCCACCATGCATTGACTTTAGTCTTCAGCAACACGGTGGTATGACTCATTAGCCCCATTTTATACGTGAGTGACCCGAGAGTCACAGAGAAAGGGCTCCCCATGTGAACTCAGCTGGTATAGTGGGCCTGGCTCAAATCTTCAATTCTGCAGTGCCACCCTCCTGCTGGTGGCAGTCCCTGAAACACTGGACAAGGGGTAGTGTTGGTGAGAAGCACGTTCCGTTTGTCATTTCTCTTCTGAAAATAGCTCATTGCTCACAAGGGCCTTGAAGGTATCAAGTATACTCATCTTTAGACTTCCGGGTTCGAAGAGAGTGGACTCTCCACAGGGCAGGGTGGCATCAGGGGCTGGTCCCTGTATACCTGCCCTAAGCCAGTGGAGGTGAGTCACTTGTCAAGGCAAGCTGGGGTCCATTTCTCAGGCCTGTGTGCCTCACGGCAGGGACCTGATGAATGTTGCTTAAATTTACGAGACTGCCGATGGAAGAGATGGTTCTGACCAGTGGCATCCGGGTAGAGCTTACTGCAAAGCCTTCCTTTCCTCACTCACTCTTCTGTCTTTGGGTTGGGTGGGAAGTCTCAGATCAGTATCTTGGGTGACACGGGATGGGGTTGTGGAGTTGAGGCTGTAGTCCCTGTCTGGGTGTCACTTCCCCCATCTATAGAGTGGGCCTAGTGGAGCTCACCCCACAGAGAGGGAATGTGCCTGGAAAGCCTCCCGCACATGGTGGGGCAGCAGGAGGATGTCAGGAGGGAAATTCGAACCTGGGCAGTTCCCTTTTCCTGCCTGCCAGGGCCGGGGGAGATGGGTCTAGACACAGCAGGATAGCCTCGGGAGCTGGCCCCTCAGCTGGGGAGCCCAGTTAATCTGCCTTTAGCTGCAGAGGTAGAGAAAGACCTGGGCTTGGGTGAGGAGGTTCTCCAAGGCGATTGATTCCCTGGTGTGTCGTGGGCCAGGTGCAGTGTCTCCTGCACATCCTCACTCACTGGTGCCACAGCCTCTGCTAGCAATCCTAGTGGCGGCCTGAGGTACCTGGAGATGCTGAGTCATCATCAAAGAGATTCTGTATGTTCTCCACCCTGTACTTGCCTGGGGTGGGGAAAGGAACCCAGTGGCGGAGGTGAAAACGGCAAGATTTTCTTAAGTACCAGGAGTCGGTGAGTGTTGTGGACTTCACAACGTACTGGCAAAGTGGGCTTGGCCCAGACGCTGGGCTCAGGAGGGCTGAACCTTAGGCTTATTGGGGAGATGTTTAAAAATACAGATGACTAGAGCGTAAGTTTGCTGTCATACTTTTAGTGGGGAGGGCCTGAGAATCTGGAGTTTTTAAACTCTTCCCAGGTGACGGTGATGGTGGCTAAGGCTGGAGACCCCTGACTCAACTGAGGTCTCCTCTTTCCTATTTGATAAAGTGACCCTCTTGGCTGTTAGTGTAATGCTTTGGTTGCTTAGAGACACAAAATAGTAGTGGCTTCAACGAGGTAGAAGGTTTATTACTCTCGCACTGAAATCTAAGCTTGGAGGCAGTGCAGGACCCATGAATTCATCCCGGAGCTCTGATTCCCTGTCTCTTGCTGCCTGCCAGCCCCCAGGGCTTTGTCCTCTGGGAGGTCAGAGCTGGCCCAGAACAGTGGAAGGCAGGTAGCTTCCCTTTAAGGGCCCAGGGCAGAACCGGGTTGGTTACATCCGCTGGAATCCTATTGCTCAGAAATCAGTCAATGGCTTCATCTGGCTACAAGGCAGGTTGGGAAATGTAGTCTTTAGGCGGGTGCCACATGCCCTGGTCAACTCCCTGGGAAGACAATTAGCAACCTCTGCAGCCTTCCTTATGAGGATGGTGTGGGGTCCCTGAGCTCTGTGAGCACACTGACCGCTATGCCCACTTAGTGCCCCACCAACACTGGCTCTAACTGTAGGGCAGTGGGTTAGGTCAGCTCCTGTACTGCCAGGCACCAGCCTTGGCTGCAGGACTTTAGCTTTTTTTGGGCCCTGGACTCCCAACAAGCTGATGACAGTGGTGAACTGTCTCCCTCCAAAATGCCAACAGAATTCCACATACAACCCTAGGAGTCCTTGGCCTCCGAAGGGTTTGTAGCCCATAGGGGACAGCTTCTGGCACCCCCACCCATCCTGAGCTCCTCGGCAGCCTCCAGCGGCTGCTTCCACTTCCGCTCCTCTGACTCCGCCCCAAGGCCTCTCCGCTCTGGTTTCCTTTGCCTTGAGTGCTTCCCTGTGCTCTCCTTACCTGGCTAAGGTCTACCGAGAACCTAGCTTAAGGGAAGCCCTTCTCACTTCCCTTCTCTCCTCATTCGAATTGGTTGATTCTGGACATTTCAGAAGTGTCACTGTTTCCTAACTGATTAAAAATGATGGGGGTGGGGCACGGTGGCTCACATCTGTAATCCCAGCACTTTGGGAGGCTGAGGCAGGCGGAGCACAAGGTCACGAGATCGAGACCATCCTGGCTAACACGGTGAAACCTGCCTCTACTAAAAATACAAAAATTAGCTGGGCATGGTGGCAGGCACTTGTAATCCCAGCTACTTGGGAGGCTGAGGCAGGAGAATTGCTTGAACCTGGGAGTCGGAGGTTGCAGTGAGCCGAGATCACGCCACTGCACTCCAGCCTGGCGACAGAGTGAGACTCCATCTAAAAAAAAGGACAATTAATGCAAGATCTTCAGTGAAGTAAGTCCTGTTGTCCCATTACACTTGTGCTCCTGGAGCCCAAGTGCCTGTTGGCCATGGCACTCACCAGCCAGTCGGTTAAGAATAACCAAGGCCAGGCTTCCCCTGCGCTGTGTGCTCTGAGGGCAGGATCCATGCCGGGTTTTGCTCATCACTGAATCTTTTCCTCCAAGCTCAGGGAAGGTACCCAGGAACTGTTGGCTGCCAGCTGGACACACACTGGCACCTCGTCAGGCACCGAGGTGTGCTCTCAATGGCCTCTTGTCTTTCAGAACACCCAGTGCATCCCAGAAGGCCTGGAGAGCTACTACGCGGAGCAAGACTCCAGTGCCCGGGAGAAATTTTACACAGTCATAAACCACTACAACCTGGCGAAGCAGAGCATCACGCGCTCCGTATCGCCCTGGATGTCAGTTCTGTCGGAAGAGAAGCTGTCCGAGCAGGAGACTGAGGCGGCTGAGAAGTCAGCTTAGCGGGATGGGCAAGTTCCTTTCAATGTGTCACTTGCAAGTAACAAAGGAACTTTGAGGGACATTTCATTAAATATAATTACTGATACTTTAGAGGTTACTCATTTATGGTGCAATTGCTTCTGTTTGCTAATGCTGCTTTGCAAATAAAACTTGCTGCCGACCACCCACGGGCATAAAATCAAGTGCATTTCAGCATTGCCTAAAGAGCTCTGACACCACTTTCCATGTTACGATCTTCATTTAGCTCCTTAACTGGGATTTATTGGCTGCTGTCAAATAAATTTACACTGGATGTGCTAAGGGCCTGGGCCTCAGACAAATGCACTTTGTGGAACTGATTTTTTGAAACCACCCCACTGTCTGCAAACCTTACTCCATAGCCATATCTAGAGTGATCTCTCCCCTAAGAGCAAGCCTACTTCACGTTTCTTCCCATCTGCCATCAGCGGGTAACAGTGCTGACTGCTGCCAAGATGCACTGTAGTGAGGGGCGTAGAGAATGAGGAAAAAGACCCCCCTCCCTCCCTGTGCTGATTCCTGAGTTGGGGTGGGACAGCCTTGCATGGTGGCAGGCTTGGTGTGGATTTACTACTGCCTCCCCTCTGAATCTGGCATCTTGGTAAGGAGGGAGGGGCACCACCAGTCTGGGTGGAGACAGCTGGGGTTTGCTCCAGTGTGTGTAGACTGGCAGAGCATGTGAGATGGAGGGGCTGGGAAGAGATGGCCCCGGGCCCTGAGGTGCAGAACTCTCCCTGCGGGGAGTCGGTCTGCTCTGTGATGTGCTGATAGGAAAGAATCACCTCTATTATGAATACATTTGCACCAATACCCTGTTAGTTTTTAAAGAAATGTCTGGGTGGGAAAAGTGAAAGTGTAATTTCTGGTAAGCTAGGGCTACTTTTAATTGTTATTGTGTGAAACTGATAGAACTCCCTTGATGTGGGAAGCAGGCAGGAAAGGCTGTGGGGGTGGGGGGCTGGTGTGGCATCGTGCAAACAAAACTACAAATTTCAACTCACAACCTTTGTAAGAAAACTCTTCCAGTTTGAATTTTGTGTTAAAGTATATGTTTACAAAACTGCCAGTTAGATAAACTAAGTGTGTAAAACAATTAAATAGAAAAAAGACATTCTACAGACGTTTCTTCTATGTTCTTTGAATGTGTTGTTTCTGGTGGACATGTCACAAGTTTCAGTTTTTTAGGAGACCAGTAATAAACGACAAACAGTGTGAGATCTGTTGCGAACAGGCATGGTGACCAGGCCAGCTCCACTATTGTTTCCTGGTGTGCTTCTAAGACATAAGATGTATTTTATCATCAAGGTGTCTGGAAACAGACCGCGACCTTACCTTCCTGGCACGGCAGGGTGCATCACAGAGGCACGAGTTGAGAAGGGCATTGTTAAGCTGTGGAAAACGACTGAGCGCAATAAATCCGTGCCAAACTTCCCTGCACATCTGCAGAGACACAAGTGAAGCCCATGTGCGCACAGTGCAGAGGCCGAGCCTGGGTGTGTTTTCCAGTAGACGTGGACTTTACTGACTGTAAATTCATTTCCATGTAACTTCTGACATTTCACTCTGTGCAAATAAAGAACCCGAGGATACTGTGCTGCAGTGGACTGTCTGTATACACGCATTTCACCAGGCGCAGGGCACGCTCTCATGCCCATGTGGGCACTGGGATGCCTTCTTTCCAGATGTGGTCCAGGTGTCTCACGCCTTCCATTACAAACAGGTGCTCCTGTCTATACTTCCTGGAAGGTCAGATACACAGGCACAAGAGAAGCAGGCCCATTCTTCCATGGCCCACTTCCTCCTTTGCACAAAGTCTCCTTGGACCCACTGAGGAGAAAGTGGTGCTCCCACACCCCTGGCTGCTTTGGGGGCAGCAGTCTTTGGAGGAGTCACGCCAGGCAGCCCCTCACGGAGGGCCCCAGAGCCTCCCCTGCATTTCTTCCCTGAAAGGAGGTGGGTGGGCCTCCACGGAAATTTCTCAACTTACACTGACAACACATTGAGGGGCTGTAATTGTATTTATTAGATTAACAAGGCAGATGTGAATTTTCTGCAATCCAGTGAGTCTGTGTATTGGATGACTCAGACAGACAAGAAGCCACAGGAAACAAAGAAGCAATCATTTGTTGGGAGACGTTAGTAACTGTCTTCTTCCCTGAAGCTACCAGGATGGGAAAGGTCATGACTTCCTTTGAACCTTGAGACAACTGGGGGCTCTTGAGGGCTGCTGTGCCCCTGCTACTGGTGCAGCACCCCCTGCCAAGGCAGCCTCAAGTTCAGGAGAATCACCAGCTCCCGCATTCAGTCTGTCTTGCCTTAAAATGGCTACAAGACCCCTTCCCACTGTTGCGCATGTTTTTCTTTCTCAGCTGCTAAATGGGCTGAACAACATCAGCCTGGGTATCCCTTTTTGGGGAAGATGTCTGCCTGTCTGAACCCCTCTCCCTTCACATGGCTCTGGGATAAAGTCTGGTCATACCATGCTCTGGCACCGGAGGTACGGTCTGTGGGTGCCCGTGCGGCTCTCATGTTGGGCCCCCGCGGCCCAGGCTAGCTGTCGTACCAGTCGAGGAAGAGCAAGGAGAAGGAGCACATCACGAGGAAGAAGAGGATCCACACGCGGAAGCCAGCGTTGTTTTTAATGGCCTGGGCAGGGACAGGAGCACAGGTGTTTTATCACACCGGATTTTGGTTTCAGCAGCCCTGAAATGCCCCACTCTTCCCACGTGCTCTTCCGATCCTGGCTGTAACTATGGGTGTTGCTCAATCTGTGCTTACCCTGAAGAGATGGCTTAATTACTAAGCAAAATTAAAAAGTGGGCCTGTCTTCTCCCAGAAGACAAATGGGTTATATTCCCTTCTCTGTGGCCATCATCTGGGCCCTGCACGATTCTCTCAGCACAACTCTTGGAATCACTCCCTTCTGTCCCGGGGTTAAAAGCCCTGAGCAGAGAGTGACTGTCAGCTTTGTGTTTCCCAGTAATGCGATGTCCTTGGTGACCCAACCCTAAGGATTGAGCTCAGGAAACAGTAGTGTCCCCCTTAGTGGGGGCCAACAAGCCTGTCCACCAGTGTGCATCCCTGTATGTGGGGAGCTGGCCTGACCTTGCCAGGAGTAACCCAACCCACCCTGGATTACTCCTTTGGAGGCTGGTGAGCCATTGCCTCTGGACAGCAGCCGGAGGTGGGCAATGGGTGGTGGGCTGGTGGGTCTCATGAACACACGCAGCTTGGCTGGAACTGATCATGACCTCACGGCCACACAATTTTGTGATCAGCCCTGTGAGCTCTGCCCAGCAAGGCTCCTGGGCAGCGGTGCCAGCAAGACGAACACCACTGCTGGGACTCAGTGCTGCACCACCTCGGACCTGGGGACTCAAACGGTGCCTACCTCTCTTATGTCTTCATTGCCCTCCTTGATATTTTCAGTTGCCCCCACAACTAACTGGTGAATGCTATCGATCTCAGCTTCCTGTGGAAGAAAAGGTAAACACAAGCTGAGCATCCTTTATCCAAAACCTGAAATCCAAAGGGCTCCAACCAGCACTTCCTCTGAGTGTCATGTCGGCACTCAAAAAGTTTCAGATTTTGGAGCACTTAGGATTTCACATTTTGGATTTTCAGTTTAGGGATGCTTGACCAATATAGCCACCTCCTCCTCCCCGAAGCGTAAATCATGACAAGAACAGGAGCTGTCACCAAGGGCAAGGGGCTTTGCTTGCATAGCCATGAATCCCACAGCACCCAAGAAGTGGGTATTACCCCTATTTTATGAAAGGGAAACCCATGGCTCAGAGTATTACTAAGTTGCCCAAAGTCACACAGCAACCAAGTGGCAGGACTGAGACTTCCTATTTTTGAGACAGGGCTTAAACAATCCTCCCACTTCAGCCTCCCAAGTAGCCGGGAGTATAGGCATGTGCCACCATGCCTGGCTAAACTTTTAAACGTTTTGTTGCAATGAGGGTTCTCCCTATGTTGCCCAGGCTGGTCTCAAACTCTTGAGCTCAAGCCATGCTCCCGCCTCAGCCTCCCAAAGCGCTGGGATTACAGGCGTGAGCCACTGCGCAGGACTGAGGCCCCAGCTCGTTGCAGTGCTCCTTCTACCGCACCTGCCAGCCCTCCTGTGCCACTTGCCGACCACGAGGACAAAAACCTAAGAGCTACTGTTTGTGGAGCACCCACCATATGCCAGGGGCTTCCCTTCCAGTCTCTTATTTCTTTCTGAAGTCCACAGAAGTAAGCTTTAAAATGTATGTGCTTCAAAATACATACACTAGCTTCAAAAAGTGCTTTGTGTTTTACTATTATATCTCAAAAAAAAAAAACAGGCTAAAATTTAAACATCGAAATAGGATGCAGGATGCCTACCGAAAAACATTTACTCCAAATAAAGCCTTGAAAAGCTTGAGAAGCGTGGGATCCTGGTCTAGCACAGGGGCGTCTGGCCCCGCAGGGGCAGAGACGGTTCTAGACGTCCTAACAGGCAGGAGTGCCTGCTGCTCTCCTCCTTTTGGTGGTGGCCAAGCTGCTTCTAACAGGGTCGGGGCTGAATGCACGCTAGTGTGGGCTGTTAGAGAAACCTGATTGACACACGGTAGGGAGGAAGCAGCCTGCGGCCTCGGATTCCCAGCGATGAATATTACTGGGATGGCTTTGCATCATTGCTCTTTGGAGAATCTCGAGGTATGAGCTAAGTGACCGATGACAAGGTTCTGATGAGAGAATCAATATGAACTACGATGCAACACTGATGAAAAAATCAAGAAAGACACACCGTTCCTCAGGCCTTAGAAACTCCTGGTGAGCCAGGTGCAGTGGTTCACACCCATAACCCCAGCACTTTGGGAGGCCAAGGCAGGCGGATCACCTGAAGTCAGGAGTTCAAGACCAGCCTGGCCAACATGGTGAAACCCAGTCTGTACTAAAAATACCAAAATTAGCCAGGTGTGGTGGTGTGTGCCTGTAATCCCAGCTACTCGGAGGCTGAGGCAGGAGAATCACTTGAACCCAGGAGGAGGTTGCAGTGAGCCGAGATTCCAACACTGCACTCCAGCCTGTGTGACACAGCAAGACTCCATCTCCAAAAAAATAAGAAACTCCTGGTGAGCAAGGCAAGGCTCTGCCTGTGCTCTGCACACCCCTCCCCAGGTTCCCTGGAGTAGCTGAGAGGTTTGAAGCAGGGAAGTGTTATTAAAAAGGGCAACTCCTATGAACCTGAACTTCCAAACTGCTGTTAGACTTAATGTACCTCATTTACGATGATTTCACTCTGGCCGTGTCGTTTATGGAAAGTCGTTTTGTGACTTAAGTTTCTTAAGCCAAGTAGCCCAGTTTAACATACTAGAGAAAAATTTGTCTTTCAAACATTCCCATAGTCTTGGGGTGCTAAAAATAAAAGGGCAAATTTATCAGGTCTCTAAAAATTTTGCCAGTTATTGGCTGGAAGAATTTCAGAAAATTCACTTGAGAAGAACAATCCTATTTCCCACGCGGACAGCATCCCTGGGGCGGCATGGACCTCGCACTGTGAGAGGGCCGGGTCTGAGCTCCGGCAACCCCAGTGACTGAAAAGCGGCTGCCCCTCAGCCTCGTGCTGGGTGCTTCTGTAGTTATGTCTCAAACTCCATTCTGCAGTCCTGCAGGACTCACTCCATTCTGTAGATGGAAAACTAGTCCGGTGGGGCTACCTAGCTTACCCAGCACATCCAGAACCTGACTGCCAGGCCTACACTCTCCTCCCGCATGCCACCGCATGCACCACCACATGGGGCAGTCAGTGGGTCCCCTGTGGAGCGCTCCCCCTCCATCACACATGCAGAGGCAGCTCTGGGTAGTGAGAGCTCTCCCCTGGGGAGCCCTGCGCATGCACACCTGCTAGCAACACGTGGCTCTGCTCCTGGCTGCGTAGAGCGGCAGCCTTCAGGAGAAACGTCCTGCGCTCTCAAGCACATTCCCCTTTCACTGAAAACTTACAACTACTTTGTGTCTGTTTTTTTACCTGTTGCAAAACCTTTTCCGTGAATATCTCCTGGAGTCTGGAAATCTCAACCACTCTCCCTTCAATTTGCCTTCAAAAAAAGAAAAAGAGATTACATATTAACTATTAGTACTTGGTAATCTAACAGGACTGTTACATGTTCTAAAGAAGCCCTGCCTTCTACGCGAAGGTGGAAGAGACGGGGAACGCCATGTCAGAGGGGGAAGAGGGGATGGTAGAGGAAGGTGAACTCTCCTTACTGGGTCGCCTTCTCTGTCTCCCAGCACAGCCTAGCACGCTGGGCTTTTTGGGAGTCCACTCTGCCATGCCGCTGACTCTCAGCCCCAAGAGGTGGGGTGTGCAGTGCCCTTTGCATTCTGTACCACTCCTCGGGGGCCTGGGTGGGCCTGGTTACACCCCAGTTACAGGGAGCAGCCTCCAGTAAGTCCTCAGCCTAGCCTTGTCGCCATGGTAACACATGGTGGGGATGCAAAAGACAAGGCTGGATCATATGCTGATGATCCAACTTTGTTACTGCTCAGCAGGTTAAAGAAGTGTATTTATCCTCAAACCAACTCCCTGTTTCAAGAGGAAAGCTCCTCTGATTCATGTAGAAAATGCCGTATCTTGGTTTGGCAACAGGGTGTTCTGTTGGACCAGGAACACCTGGGGCAGCCATCTCTCTGGTGTCGGGGCAGCATGGGCTACCCTGGGGGGCAGGCAGGGGACCATGTATTTAGAAATGGAAGCTGGCCCAGGCTACAGTTAACTGTTGTTCCAGCACAAAGCAGCAACAGGAAGTGGCAGGAGCGTAAAGTGGTGGGAGCTGAGCTCCTGGAGGGCGCAGAGATGAATCCCAACAGTGCCACAGTGGTGGGGGGCAGGGGAGGAGATGTGGGAAGAAAAGCCAGGGAGTATCTGCACGTGGGGGAGTAACAAGGTGGGGACAGTGCAAACGAGGCTGTCGGAGGAGGACTAGGAGGTCCATCTCTGAGGGAAGAAGGCCAAGAGTCCCATGGAGGCTGACACGGACTCTGAGAAAGTCCTCAGGCTGTGCGTGCAGCATCAGGACTGATTTTATTTGCGGGACGTGTCTACAATACAGCAGGCTCTGAAAGATCTGCCCTTACTTTCAGCATGCTCCAAGCATTCCCACAGAGACTACAGGCCAATGCTTGCACGTGTGGGTGTCCATGGTCTTGCCTTCTGCATTCCTGACTCCCTTTTGGGTATGGGAGCAGGCAGACTCCTAGGGAACCACTTGCAGAAGAGGGCTTCCCTTGGCCAGCTGTCACAAGGCCCCCTTTCATTTCAGAGTCACTGCATGGAAACAGCCCAAATGGTGGTGGTAATTCCATGCAGGTAACCTGCAGTGGCAGTAGGGCAGGGGAGGAGATGTGGGAAGAAGAGCATCTCACTCCTGCATCTCTTGGGGTGGGAAGTCCCTGTGTTCCCTGCAGCAGCGGCAGCAGGCGGGAGGTAACCCACAGGCCCACGAGCTGAGGGAGTTGTGGATTTAGGCCACTTGCCCACCTAAGCCCTGTCAAAATGGCCGAGGAGGGCCACATGTGGATGCCAGGGCACCAAGGCAAATAGGTTCCCAGTTCCTGGAAGAGTTGTAAAGCAGGCCATGAGCTCACAGAGGAACTACAAACATACCTCACTTCATCAAACAAGCTGTTCATTTCACCAATTAGTCGCTGATTTTCCTGTTCAAACTGTGAGGAAACAAACATACTCAGGGTGACATCATACTGAACTTAGGCAAGAGTCTAGCAAGAAAAGGGAGCTACGCTCCAGGAATCACTGCTGAGCCCCGTTTCCAGCATGCAGCAACGTGGTGGCCAGCGCTGGATGACCGTGAGCATTAGTCTGAACAATGTCCCTGCTTTCGGGAGAAGATATTAAAAACCTGGTAATCGACTTCTCTGTCTCACCCACTGCACTCCAGGCATGCAAGCTGACTGCCGTGGCTGTAGCTGTGTCTCCCTACTTGCCCTCCCCTGGGCTCCCACGGTCTGCTTCCTGCCTCTGGTACCATTATCTTAAAAATTCTTTTGTTGTTGTTTTCTCTCATGAAGTATACTGAAGGACTATATATATTTAATATGGAGAAGGATCTGGTGTGGGGAAGGTCTGGAGAAGAAAGGGAGGTCGGCAGCTTGGCTGAGCTGCCCCTGGACCCCTCTGACTTCAGAGCCATGCCCCTGGCCACTCCACTGCTCAACAGGGACAGAGTCCCAGAGTCCCAGAGTCCCAGTGCTCAGGCTGGGTGAGGACAGGTGCCCTGACACTGGGCATACAGGGGAGCTTCTTGGGGCTGAGTGAGCTTGGCACAGACAATTGCTCTCTTAGCCATTCTTGCCAGCTTGATATGGGCCAAGAAAAAGGATGGAAGCGTCGAAAACTCAGCACAGAGAATGGGCAGGAACACCTCCTTGCCCTCCCCACAGGTTCCCACAGCCCTGTCCTTGTGTGTCTACTCAACTCCCGGAATGTGCAGTCAGGGCATCGTACATTTCCTCCTGGATGAGTCCCACAGGCCCCACTTCTCCAAGAGACCTGCCCTGGCCTCTAAGCCCAAACTTACTTCTCATATTTCTATCCTTGGCCTACCATTTTCTGAAAATATCTTAGGATAGTAATCCCTTTCTGCCTTGTAATAAACTGTGCACATCCCACACTTCCTGTGTGACGCTGAGCTTCTTGAGGGTGGGAACTGTGCAGAGCCTGACTTTGAAAAGGCATTCCGGTTTTTCTTTCATATCGATTATAGCTGCCATCAAATCCACAAATATTTTCGGAGGCATTCTGTAAGCAGGGGTGGGGAATATGAATACAAGCAAGCCTCCAGAGGCTCTGAATCAATGGAAGATCTGGCTTACCACTTCCTTAGTAAACCAGAGACAAAAGGGAAACAATGGTTATGGGAGGCAGCTGACCACAGCTGACCACCATGGGCTGTATTGACACTTCCCATTCAGGGATATACAGGTTCATATACAGGCTCATGTGACAGCCTGGACCTGTTCCTGTTGTCTTAGGGCGGAAGTGAGTTGCAGGGCCTCCCCAGCAGCCTCCTTCCCACCCAGGCCCCTCCCCTCCAAGTATCCCGGCTGTTCTATATGCAGCACTCTTCACACGTGCGCCCCTTCCTAACTCCGCCGATCTCACCCTTGCACAGGCACTTGCTGTCTTCAGCCCTTCCCCTACTGTCCACACTCTGCCCTCATCATTTCTCAATTGCCCCCAGCCTGTTCTCCAATCCTTGGTCAAAGGGATCTCAAGTGCTGGTCATGCCAGAATGCCTTATGCTGGCCTTGCCCATTGGACCTATAGATCAAGTCCAAGGTACACTTTTATCCATGATCTGGCCACATGACATCTTCCACTTCAGCTCTACTCTGCACAGGTTAGCTTCCTGCCTGGCTGGGGAACTCCACGTGGTCCCTCAAAACCTGAGGCAAAATCCGGCACTAGACAAGAATGCCCTCTTTCACCACTCCTATTCAATATAGTACTGGAAGTTCTAGCCAGAGCAATCAGGCAAGAAAAAGAAATAAAGGGTATTCAAATAGGAAAGGTGGAAGCCAAATTGTCTCTATTTGCAGACGACATGATAGTATATCTAGAAGACCCCATCACCTCAGCCCAAAAACTCCTGAAACTGATAAGCAACTTCAGCAAAGTCTCAGGATACAAAATCAATGTGCAAAAATCACAAGCATTCCTCTACACCAATAACAGACTTAAAGAGAGCCAAATCAAGAACGAACTGCCATTCACAATTGCTACGAGGAGAATAAAATACCTTGGAATACAACTCACAAGGAACGTAAGGGACCTCTTCAAGGAGAACTACAAGCCACTGCTCAACGAAATCAGAGAGGACACAAACAGATGGAGAAGCATTCCATGTTCATGGTTAGGAAGAATTAATATCGTGAAAATGGCTATACTGCCCAAAGTAATTTACAGAATCAACGCTATCCCCATCAAGCTACCATTGACTTTCTTCACAGAACTGGAAAAAACCACCAGGAACTTCATATGGAACCAGAAGAGAGACTGCATAGCCAAGTCAATTCTAAGCAAAAAGAACACAGAGCGGGGCATCACACTACCGGATTTCAAACTATACTACAAGGCTACAGTAATCAAAACAGCATGGTACTGGTACCAAAACAGAGATATATAGACCAATGGAACAAAACAGAGGCATCGGAGGCAACACAACATATCTACAACCATACAATCTTTGATAAACCTGACAGAAACAAGCAATGGGGAAAGGATTCCCTGTTTAATAAATGGTGTTGGGAAAACTGGCTAGCCATGTGCAGAAAGCAGAAACTGGACCCTTTCCCGACACCTTACACTAAAATTAACTCCAGATGGATTAAAGACTTAAATATAAGACCTGGCACCATAAAAACCCTAGAAGAAAACCTAGGCAAAACCATCCAGGACATAGGAGTAGGCAAGGACTTCATGACCAAAACACCAAAAGCATTGGCAACAAAAGTCAAAATAGACAAATGGGACCTAATCAAACTCCACAGCTTCTGCATGGCAAAAGAAACAGTCACTAGAGTGAATCAGCAACCAACAGAATGGGAAAAAATTTTTGCAGTTTACCCATCTGACAAAGAGCTGATATCCAGAATTTACAAAGAACTCAAACAGATTTACAGGAAAAAAACAAACAAGCCCATTCAAAAATGGGCAAAGGATATGAACAGACACTTTACAAAAGAAGACATATATGAGGCCAACAATCATATGAAGAAATGCTCATCATCACTGGTCATTAGAGAGATGTAAATCAAAACCACATTGAGATACCATCTCATGCCAGTTAGAATGGCGATCATTAAAAAATCTGGAGACAACAGATGCTGGAGAGGATGTGGAGAAAAAGGAACACTTTTACACTGTTGGTGGGAGTGTAAATTAGTCCAACCATTGTGGAAGACAGTGTGGCGATTCCTCAAGGCCTTAGAAAGAGAAATTCCATTTGACCCAGCAATCCCATTACTGGGTATATATCCAAAGGACTATAAATCATTCTACTATAAGGACACATGCACACGAATGTTCATTGCAGCACTGTTTACAATAGCAAAGACCTGGAACCAACCCAAATGCCCATCGATGATAGACTGGATAGGGAAAATGTGGCACATATACACCATGGAATATTATGCAGCAATCAGAAATGATGAGTTCGTGTCGTTTGTAGGGACATGGATGAATCTGGAGAACATTATTCTCAGCAAACTGACACAAGAACAGAAAATGAAATACCACATATTCTCACTCATAGGCAGGTGATGAAAAATGAGAACACATGGACACAGGGAGGGGAGTACTAAACACTGGGGTCTATTGGGGGGAAAAGGGGAGGGCCAGCGTTGGGGGGGAGCTGGGGAGGGATAGCCTGGGGAAAAATGACGAATGTGGGTGAAGGGGAGAAAGGAAGCAAAACACACTGCCACGTGTGTACCTATGCAACTGTCTTGCACGTTCTGCACATGTACCCCAAAACCTAAAATGCAATAAAAAATTAAAAAAAAAAAACCGGAGGCATCTTCCTAGCGATCTGACACCTCAGGGCAGACTCAATCACCTTCTTTTACCTCCTCACTTTTGTTACAGAGTTCCCCTGTACTTGGCTCTTGAGGGACATTCCTCACACTTTTTCTGGGGCCTGTCTTATCTCTGTGGAGGGAAGCTGTTCTCCTTTGGACCCTGAACCCAGCCCAGAGCCTCATACATGACAGGACACTGGTTCTCGGCCCTGGCTAGTCATCAAAACACAAGGAGGCATCTGCTGCCCTCCAGACCCACCAGGCCAGAAAAGAGGGGGCAGGGGCAAAGCTTTGGGAAGGGCGGAAGTGCCAGGGAAGCTCCCTGCAGGACCACCTCATCCACAGCAGGCTGCCTGGCTGGGCTGCTGACACAGAATTGCTTATGGCCTTTTTAATTAGGCAAGAGAAAGGCTATTTAAAACAATAAAACTTTCACTTTTGAGTTTGAAATATCAGCTCTGTTAACTCAACAGTTAAGAGGACAATATTTAAGGAAAACACCTAATTACTAAAACTTGTAGGCACCAATTCACTTTGGCTCTTTCAGGTACTACTCAGCTTTTCTTTGGTAGGGGGACATTTTCTTGAATTTTTCTAATGACAAAATATGGCCCTGCCCTTTTAAATCCACAGTCCCTTTTATGCTTGAAACTGTCCCTAAACAAAATTAACTCGTGGTTTGATGTGATTTGTTCCTGGACCACTTCTTGGGAACAAAGCTTTTCTTGTCTCCTCCCCAACTCGAGGGCCTGTGGTATAAGGCACCTCTGTGCGGTGCCGCCTCTTAGTAATCGTTACTTCTGATAGCTCCATGTCCGCCCTCCGCTGCAGTGAGGAGTGGGATCAGATGCTGGCTTTCCTTCCACCCCATGGGTTCTTGATGCCACCTGAAAAATACCTAGTCCCTAGAAGAAGAGAACCCGGTGCCTCAAGATTCAAAGGTGCTAAAGTCTGAGGAGAGAAGTGTGCCAACGGCCAGGAGCTGTTAATGGAGAGCAGCCTCTGTTCAAAAAACAAAAGGCCTATTTCCCAGACAACTGCAAGGTCACTATTACTTAAGGAGGCTGGCAGGGCCTAGGACAATTAGGTCATAGCAAGGCTGCTGACCACACTGACTTGTATGAGGT